GGCTGCGTCTCTTCCTTCATAGATTGAAAGGGTGGAGACGGCTGATACTTTGAGGCAGTCGGCTTCGTAAGGTTTGAAAAAAGGTTTGTATTTTGTCGATATCGTCCGAGTCTTCAATGCCCATCCCCACGGCGGCTCCTAAAATGCCCAGGTACGATGATTGCCGGGTGCTCTTCTTCTCTTCAATATTATCATTTTCGGGTGCAGCCGGCTCTTGATCAAAAAAGGGCGCCAAGCTGGATCCCACTTTGTCGGCACCATCGGATCCATGATAGTTCACACTCGTCAGGTAGCGAATTGGCTGCCGTTTCATCTTCGTACGTCAGCGCCACACAGGTATTCACCGAAATGCACGACTCTTGGGTGTTGCGGGTAGACAACATGACCTTGGCCAGACGGGGTTTGCTAGACCAATCACCATCACGACATGTCGTTTCCTTGTTCTGCCATCGTGCGTACAACGACTATCGTATCCCAATAATAAGGAAAATGCAGTCGGAAAAGAGATGGTGAAGCGAGAAAGCTACCAGTAGTTGGCTTGGGTTCGCCTTCGGCCAAAATGAATGGAGGCGACAAGGCACGTCTCAAACTGATGCCAAATTGCATGTGAAAGCATTTTGGCTGGCTCTAATTAGGATCTTTGGCTTGAATGACCAAAAGCGAAGTCGAGAAGCGAGATACGCTGTAGCAAGATAGCGGGAGTCTGCCTACACAACAACAACAACAAACGCCTCTTTGATACCAGATGATGAAGCGGATGCTCGTGGCTACTTGTCTCTCTTCCTTGACATTGTCCTGCTGCAGGCAATGAAGAGGAGTCTCTGGTTGAAACTGCAGAACACAACCGGGGATACTGTCGAAAGAGTTGCCTATCAGTGTACCTTTCGGAATCTTTGGACAGAAGCAAGACAGCCAGTAAACTTTCCCTTTGAGCTAGGACGATGGGCTGGACCTATCCTATGGACCCATACCTTGCAGTTCCAGCCATGGGTACACAGCAGGGGTGTCACCCGGGGAGTGGAAAAGTTGGCAGAGGTAAGTTGATACAGCGCTGCTACTCATTCAAGCTGGCAATTCTTTGAAAAGTCTCTGTTTCTATGCTAACTGTTCTTTATGCTCCAGGATGGCTTCACTGATGTACTGATTCAAGAAATGATGCAGCAAGGTGCCCAAGTCAAGGACTATCAGGAATATGAGCAAGCTCAGTTCTTTGTCAGCCAAACCAACTTTGTTCATATTCCACCCATTGAGGCTGATTTCACCTACCCCTACCTTTCCATGATGGCCGGCATGCAGCCCAGTCCAGATTGGTACACTGGATTTTACAGCTATTGGCTCATTGATGAGTACTCTCGCACTTGGTATGATCACATCAAAATTCAAGTCAAGCCATGGGATGCAGGCACGGATGCTGGTCAAACCTACACTGCTTTGGAGAGTGACCTGGATCCACCCTTGAATGCGGAACGCTTTATACCTAGAAATGCTCCTCCAGGTGGGGAATTGCTGGATCCCACAGGAGAAACCATTCCCAATGTGGGAGAACTGGAGTGCTTTTTAGTTGTGGGGGAGCAAGATTTGATCTTGCCAGACTGTGATTGGTTTGCCAATCCCTGCTGCAACGAAACTGACACAGTATCCTGTGGAGCTACCTTGCCAAATGGGGCCCCTCCACAGATTTCACCGGAGTATGCACAAGTCTTGGATGGTGGGACTACGGTGGACGATTCACTGACGACAGCCCAAAAATTGAGTCGTTTGGAAGAAATCGCTGGAGAAATGCGTCAATTGGCAGATGAGGTGGATGCATTGGTGCAAGGGCTTCGTGAGGATGATGGAGAAGGAACAACAGGATCATCCATTACAAGGAAGAAGAGGAAGAAGCATGATGAAGATCTTTGAGGTTGGAAAGTGGACATGTATGTTTCGGTGATTTAATTTCATGGTAGTCTACCTGGTACATGTGGTGCAGACATAGTCGGCAGAGAATTCTCATTGCACAGGACAAGTGCTCAGTGCATTTCAATGAATGGGTTAAAGAGCTCCTTAAACTAAAATCAATGGCTGCAGTTGGTTGCACCTACTGGTACGGTTCCTTTCTCTCAAAGCAAAATGCACCTCGGAGGCACACCCTCTCTACTGGTACGGTACCGGTATGCTGCCAGAATGATCAAACCACAGCGGTGTTTTTCAGACTGGGCATGCAAGTGTTGGGCCTTCTCACACGGGGCAACGAAGCAGGCACAGTGCTTCGATTCTAAAAGGAGTCCACCGCATGGGTAGCTACCGCTACCGGTTCATGGCATCTGGTTCCAATGCTTTGACTGGAATACTCGTTTTTCCAGTTCTTGAAGTCCATTTTCAACTCTGTTTCGTCAATTTAACAAAAGATCTGGTGGATCTTCTTTCAATCAAAAATCCGAAGTTCCGATGCAACATCCACCTTGTTCCTGACATTCTCTCTGCACCCCCTTGCTACAGTAGCTGCTCAGTAGAGGCTTTCTCAAGAGACTCGCTACCAGTACAGTTTGGTAAGAAGGAGAGCATTCCTTCATGCCTCGCCTTCATGGAAAGATCTGTGTTAGAAGGTTTTGTTTTCTCCTAGCAGCATCCTCCGGACACAACTACCGATACAGAACTTTTCCCAGATCTCATCGCAGTATGGCATCTCTGCCATCCTCTTCCCAAGATCTCGTTGTCTTGACTCCGTCATCGCCATCTGAGTTTGCCAGTGCCATTACCAGTCGATGCTACAATGCCAAACGTCCCGCACGCGACTGTTACCCTGACATCATTTTCCAAGCCAAATCCGTAGCGGCCGTGCAAACAGCTGTCCGGTATTGTGTTGACCGAAAGTTGAAAATTTGCGTTCGATCGGGAGGACACAACTGGGAAGGTTCCTGGTTACAGGGATCGGGAACGGCTCTACTAGATGTCGGTGATTTGAATTCCATCGAACTGCACCAGGCAGATAAATCCGTCCATGTGGGGCCGGGTGCCACGGGCAGTGCTATTGTCCAAGCTTTGGCTCCTCACGACTTGTTCTTTCCAGGTGGTCATTGTGATGGAGTGGCCATTGGTGGATTTCTCTTGGGTGGTGGCTATGGAATTGGGTTTCCCAAATACGGCATGGGATCCACGTGGGTATCGCAGGCCCGTGTCGTTTTGCCCGATGGAAGTGTCGTCACGGCATCCTCCTCCCATGAGAAAAGTGATCCCAAACAAGCCGCCATTTTGCATCTCATTCGAGGTGCCTACACCGCGTTCCCAGGTGTGATTACCAGTTATACACTGGGACCCTCGCTGCCTACAAAACCCAAAGGAGTCATGAGTGGCACTCTGTTTTACAAACTCACCGACTGGCCAAAGGCATTCGACTTGGCCAAAACAATCCACAAGGATGGCAATGATGCGATTGAAATCACGAGTGTCATGACCTATGCACCTCCGGCTGTCCAAGAGGCTACTGGCGAGTCCATGGTCACTCTGTTGGGACTCATGATTTGGGGTGACACACCAGAGGAAAGTTGGGAGTTGTGGAAGCGATATGGTAGCACAGCAGAAGGACTGCTGGTCCCACCGGAGGAAATGCCGACACAACTAGAGGCGGAAAACGTACCTGCATTCTTCAAAGACTTGTATCCCTCCAGCACGCGATATCAAACGCAAGTCTTTATGGGTGACAAGGCCTTTGAAACCCTGCAAGGAACAGAGGAAATGGAATCTCTGATACAACCATTGGTGGATATGTGGATGTCGGATGACAAGCCGCCAGCACCATCCCATACGTTACTTGTGTGTGTTCATCCCAACCTCAAATCCAAGGTTCATGGCAACCAGGAATTGGCGTTGGGGTACACTCCCGACATGGGGATTCAAACCTACGCCATGTACACGGATGCTGGCCAAGACGACACAATCAAGGAACAACTCGACAAGGCACATGCCAAGTTTGTGGAATGCGATAAGTTTCACACATCCTTGGTCGAAGGAGAAACAAAGCGGCATGGCTATGAAAGTGGTTTTGCTTGCCATGAGGCCTTTCTCAAGACACGACAATGCATACAATTGCTCGACCCTGATGGAGTGTTTGCTGGATGCCCCAAGTAGCAACTACCGGTAATGGTGCAAAGCTATAGTCTAGCAAACAAACGCTCTTCCTTTTTAACCCATGTTCGAGCTATTTCGTTATATAATAAGCTACATTTGTGATCCATCGTCCATAGTGTAGTTGATCCATTGTGGGCAACACGGACGATATCTGTTTTGGATTTGTTACTGACGTGGGTGGCGTTTTCCCATCCTCATATTTTCGCCACGCCATCTTGGATAGTACGGTAACAGTCAAGTGCACGTGGATTGCTGTCCCTTTCCATGTCGTTGATTGACGTTCATCTGCCATCCATCCAATCAATCTACCAATCAGTCAGTGGATTGTTGTGATTAGGCTGTCTTTGTCTTGTTGGCGCGAACCGAAAGGCCGGTAGCTTTGAAGAAGGCAAAGACAGCACCCAATGCCACCACAGCGGCAGGAGCCAAGGAAGCACCAAATGTGTTTTCCAAAGTCATGCTGACTCCAAGAACCAAAAAGGAAAGAGCCAAGAGGAACCATTGTGCAACAACATTTTGGCTTTCCGCCCATTCTTTGAATGCAATGCCACTGGCCACGTAGTGTGGCATACCATGTTCATTGTAACTCTGGCAAAAACTGCTGCTGATCCCCAAACACATCAAGCGGAAAGGAGACATGGCAATATGAACAAAGCTGTGTTGCGACATGCTGGTGGTGATGGATGCCACTTGGACATTTTCTGCCTTGTTTTGCAAAGAAATGTAAGATGAAGCAACAATGCCATCCACTACCAAGTTTCCAGCCTGTGTCAAGGGAGCATAGAGACCTTCACGTTGGATAGTGTTGACTTGAGCGACCTTGGCAGCAGGAGAGAGAATATCTCCCACTTGAACGGAAGCAGCAGGGACAGGGGTAGCCTTATTGGCCAGGAAGACCAAGTGATCTCCTGTCATTTCCAAAGTAGAATCATCCGTGACAAACTGGAAGAAATCGCCCTCCACTGTTGGTTCCCAATGGGCAAAGGCATACACAGGTTGATAATCATTGGCAGCAGTCAGAATTTTGTCGCCAACTTGAAGATCCTTCATGGCCATTGGTCCCTTGTTTTCCACCTGCACGGTGGAGACACTCGAAAAACAAGCTGCGTCCGTGATGGCTTCGATAATCTCTTCAGTGTCAATATCACCGTCTCCATCACCGTCATCTTCTTTCAAGGCACGGCTTTCGATTCTCTGTAAAAACAGCAGCAGCAACGACGTGAGGAGGCATGTACATTATTATCATCTGCAAGCCACGAAAAAAAGAATCAAACACAAATCCGATGCCATATTTATTGCACATACCTTGCTACCCTTCAAGGCAGACGCAAAGGGAGCCACAACGGCCAAGAGAGAAACAATAGGGGCGATCTTCATGGTTGAAATAGAAACTTGAGAGAATTGTGATGAGGATGTTTGGGACTTCTGCTGAGATACAGATTGTGAGCAGATACTGACGATGAACTGGATGAGTGCATGATCGATCTCAATTGATTGCCGATTTTCTGGATAAGATGCTCTGACAACGTTCGTTTCGTTGCCGCCTCATTTTTGTTGGATGCACATGGAACGCAGCTCCTAAATCTTACCGTGTCCAAAAAATAGACAAGAGAAGAGTACATTTCAGAGAGTAAAAGTTCAGATTTTCACCGTGCTGTGTGACAAGAAACGTTCGGTAGCATTGGCTTGTTGCTAACCAAATCGGATGGAGCGCAGAAAGGTTTGGAATCGTACAGATAACTTAGACAAAAGATCTTTGACTCCGACGAATTCAATGTTGGAGTTGTCTGTTGGTGGCTACAAACGTCAGTCTACATCATTCAAAGGAGGGATGTGGCAATTCTTTGACGCAGAGCGATCCCAGGGAGCAGGATGAAACTGCGACATTCACAAGATATATTGGCACGAATGGCCTGTTGCCGATTTTGTCGTCACTCTGTCACGGTGAGGTACAGTAGTCTCATTTATGCCATGAAGTGTTAGCTCTCTCTGGGATAAATCTCGTGTAAAGTCACATCCACATGATACAACAGCATGAGGTACCACGGGGCCGAGGCAACTTCGTCCAGGTTCTATCCTATGCATAGATGTATGTGTACTGGTGGGATGGCTGAGCAATTGTAGCTAGAAACCCAAACGCATCTTCTGACCAGGCAACAGAAACATATCCAGTGCAGGCTTAGGCCAACAAGGTCAGAAGGCTGAGACTTTTTGGCAGGCTCATGTGGGGTACAATTGGCTGCCCCCTCGAAGCTACGAAAGCAATATTATGCCTCTTAGCTTGGTGCCGTGCTATTCAAGAAGCATCATCCAACACATAGCTATGCATAGCTAAACATACCACCGTAAGCAGCGGGCCTAATTGGCTACGGCACGCTGGGACGTTGCTTCTGCGTACCAGTACGAGCAACAAACTACTCTGATACGAAAAACGGCCGCAAACTTCTTAGTTAGGCACTGGCCTGGGCTGCCATATGCTACCAGATAGCGATAGATTGAAAAATAGTGTGCATGTTTAGTTTTGATCTACTAGATCTGAGGCTGCTCAAAGCAGTCTCCAATACAACCAAGGATAGAGAAGCCTTGGTCATCCTGCTCATGGCATTGCCTTGACAGGGATGATATGCTCCTCCGGCCATCCTGGTGTGGTTGGTCTATCTACTGATGGGGCTGCTAGTTAGTTAGTGGGTCCTACGGTAGGCTTTTGCTAGTACTTTTCGTTATGGGATGTTGCCGGCTGAACTAAAACAAAACAAGAGGGTACGGATAAGGCGATTTTATGGATGTTATAATATTCCCTGGTAAATTGCTGTCTGCGGGTCCATGGTCTCCCAACTGAGTACGGTACATGAACAGTGACAGTATCACAGACTTGTTCTCTTGGCTCTTTCCGAGCCTGACTTTTTTTAATCCCAAAAAGATGCCTGGCGCAGACCAATACCTCATTGCTGTTTCAATAAACAATGAGTTGCTGCTTTTCATTTCGTTGAGGGGCTTCAAGGAAGGCCTCTGGACATGTTGTAGTGTAAAGTAGTAGACACACTACGGTACCAGTAGAGTGGGGCGTAGCAATGCCTTCTTGTTGGGTTACGAAAAGTCCATGAGCAACTCGGCCGCAATTTTGGCTATATGATCGGGTCGAATCAGCACTTTGCCATCGTTGCTTGTCTCGCATTCGGTATCGCATTCCGCCTCAATAGAAGCGCGATTGCGGGCTTCCAAAATAAAGAGCCGCAATAGCTCACCAGCCGCCAATGACGCTTCTTTGGATATCATACGTCGGCCATCAAATTCCTTCATGACCAATTTCTTCACCAAGGTCGGGTCCAGTGCTGTCTCCTGCGGTTCGTCTTTTGTGGATGTTGTCGTCGTCATGGTCTCTCTCAACATAAAAAAGGTGAAGGTGGAGGCTGTTGTTGAGAGGATGGACAGTTTTGACCATTTAACTCAAGCCAACAGAGCTGGAAATTTTTGTTGAACACGGTGTGAAATTTTGGCCACTTTTTTAGAGCCGGTTGCAGCCACCCAAATCGTCGTGTTGCTGCGGTTGATGCCAATGCTGCTACAAAGATGCAAAGATATCAACAACAGCGACCGCCAAGCTGGACCAAGCCTCAATAAAAGAACAACACCAGGGATTCCAACGTGGTCCCCCACCGTAGTACTAACCTGGCCCGACGATGCTTAACTTCGCTGAGCAGACGGGAAGCGGTGCTGTCATCGTGGTATGGTCGTTCCTGGCAGAAGTGAAGATTGCTATAGTTTTGAGCTCTTTTCCTCCTCCTCACCAATTCGGAGGTTTCGACGGTGAGCTTATGGGTGCACCAAATCACTAAGGCAACACCAAGAGTTTGCTGTTATGGTTTCTTTTTTAAAAAGCTTAGGGTTACATGTAGTAGAAAGCAACGATGGGGTCGTGTGGGCAAGAAGCAACGACTGAGGCTAGTCTACTGACCATGCTTCGATCCTCCAACAGGAATCGTCGACCAGCCGTGTTCAGTTTCAAGTATTGGCGAATGCAGGAAGCATTCCATATCGACTCGACTCCATGCCTTCGAACTCAGTATGATGGAGTACAAAGTTATGTTCTTACAGAGTGCTGTACAAGACAGCGCGAACCTGATCGTCAAAAGTCCCCACCGCTGCTTCAAAGCTGGTTCTACTTTCACCTCCAGGATACCCAATTCGGAGCTTCTTGAGATTTCGATTCGTCCGGAGCGCCATTGCAAGTTGCAGCAAAAGTATGTTCGGTTCGGTTGACCCAATGACTCAATTTTCCTAAAGCATGCATTTTGGATCTACCAGCATGTTGCTTGAACGTTATCATTTCCAAACCCAAGCAGGAATTCGTCGTCTCCAAGCAAGAGAGACTTCAGATTGGTGGAGGCAATGGTGGCAGCCAGGTTCTCACAAAAGCGAACCAAAGTAGCAAGCCGTCACCAAGGCATTCGACAGTGCAAATCGCGGAGGCCGGGTTCTTGGCTGAGATCCTTAAATGCTCTCAATGTACTGGCTGCTGAACATAGGAATTTTCCAGCACTCCTTTTTGCAGTTTGGGGTCCGTTGCAAGCGATCGCACGATACTCCTCGAATTTCTGCCATCCCGGAAACTGAGCCCACATAATGATACCTTTTCGAGTGTTGGGTGTTCTTTCAGAGCTTTCCTGAGTTGTGGTAGACGAGCATCCCGAGAGATACGCAACTCAGATAGCTCCAACTTTTCCAGAGTCGAGCGTGTATCCTGTATTGTGTCCGCCAATGCTTCCGCTGGAATGGCAGGCAGCAAACCAGATATCTGCAACTTGACTAGCGGCAATGATCCCAACAAGGATGAATTTCAAGCAATTGTCGAACTGATGATCGATGGATATTTTGCGTTTGACCTGCTAATCGGTATGCTCCCAATTTCGACGGAGAAAGTTGCAGGAAAGGAATGATCCTCTTGGCATTGCATTTTCGTACGCAATCTTGGACCTTTCGATCGCTGCTTGTACGTCGTACTGGCATTGCACATGCAGTTCTGGGTGATGGTAACGCGTTTGGCCATGGTCGTGCTTTGTTTGTTGTCGCTTGTGATGACATGCTCATTGCTTCGAAGTCAATTACACGTACTTCTGTTTAGCACCAGAGCTTAACCGCAAAAACCGAAGCGTTGATAAGCCGAGGGAACCCACGATGATTTCCACTCCAAACCAACGCTCCATGTAGGTATGATTATTTCGCATGGTAAGGGCAAACAACACCTGGATGGATGCACTGATCCATGCCAAAGTGCTGAACAAGTTAAATGTTTGCAACATGGACAACCCAAAGGCGACCACAAGGCGAAGAGCAGGTACAATGTCTTCTTCGGCTGTCCGGTCCACCACAGCCGTCGCAAGGACGACAGTTGGCAGCACCCAACGAAGGCTCCTCAGCAGGCGTATGCAGATCTTGGCCTCCATTGACCGAAGCTCCTGCAAGCGGTGCTCCTTTTGTGACAGAGTCACTGCCGCCGTGTCCTGTTGCGGGACTTTGGGGATTACCTTCTGGGCCTTCTTTCTAGTTGAAGCGCCTCGTCCAACTTTTTCACCTTGTTGCTGTGGCGGAGGAACTGCAAACTGGGTAGGCGAGAAAGAAGCCATTTCAATCAGGTATTGATCCTTCAACATGGACCGGCAGATCAATGTCAGGACAATGCCCAGAATGATACCTGGAAAGAAGTGAGGCAGCCATACACATTGGTCCATGATCAAATCACTCATGACTGGCGTAAAGTAGATGACTGCGTAGCAGCCAGCAATCGATTGTCGTTCAACTGCTTCTTTCACTGCTTCTTGTATCATTCGCGATAGCAGTGACATTTGGAACTGTGCGGAGCGTCTTGCAAAGTCCATGCTGTTGTCAATCCAAACAAGCACCGAAGTCACGGTATTCCTTGACGTGGTAGTTCTGGTCGTTCCTGTTGTTTTCGATGATGTGGTTCCTGTTACTGTCGTGTGGGATACCGGTTTCGTTTTGGATGTTTTGGTTGCAGTTGTCGCAGGTCTCGTGATGGTGGTCCCTGTTGATGGCACAGTCGTTCGAGTGGGACTTTCCATTGAAGGGGGTGCTTCCTCCACCGCGACATGGGTCTTTCCAGTCTTGAGCACATCATTTTGGTGGAGTTGGGGTTCTCTGTTGTTTCGAGTACCTGTTCCTGTGGTCCCCTTTTTGGAGGATTTTTGCTTTCTCCCTGATCGTTTCTTCCTGGTCGATGTGGTGGTGGAGATGGCTGCAGCAACCTTTCTTGGTTCCACCGTCAAGTCTGCTACAATCGTAGGTGTGGTTGTGGTAGTGCTTGTCTTTTGCTGACCAACCAGATTGCTATTTTTGGTCCTGGCCGTTGTCACTGCAGCATCAAATGACTTTTTAGGTCCCGTGGGTGGTGGTTCCGTAGGCTTTGGAGCAATTCTTGGCTCCTTTGGTGGTTCCCGTGACTCTTTGGGTCCAACTTGTTGCCAACTATCTTCTTCTTCCAGCGCTTCTTCTTCGTCCTCTTCTGGTGGTTCGTCTTCTTCTTGTGAAGGTACTGGTGCTTCGCTGCGAGGTGGCAGGGACGGGATTGGTGCTGGTTGTGGTTTGGGTTCTTCGTCCTCAAACCGCAAACGTTGCGGGGGCGGCAAATGTTGGTACCCCGGCGGTGGTGCTACTACCGCCAAAGTGGAAAAGTGTGGTGGTTCTTGTGTTGCGGGTACTGGCAATGCTGTTTGTGACGGTGGGAACAAGAGAGGTTCATCTGTTTCAGGCAAAAATGTTTTGGACGGCTGGTGTTGCTGTTGTTCTACAAGAAAGGATGTTTCCGATGGTAGATAATGGACACTGAGTGGTACTGGTGAGTGCGAGCGGTGGGAATCATCCCGCTTGGCACTGCCACTAGACAAGGATGATGTGGTGGACTGCTGATCAATCAAAAAATCGTCGTCGTCGTGGTTGACCAAATTCTCATTATTGAGAGCACCTGGTTGTTGCTCATCGGGGAGTTCCAAAGGAAGGTTGATTAGACGATGTGTCGTGGAGGACGATCGGCGTCGAATAATCTTGGGTGGGCTATCTGGCTGCAACAAATGTTCAGGAAGAGCATGATCCGACGACCCAACTACATTTCGCAATGAGGAAGATAGCACAGAGACCATTTTGCGGACATCTTCGACTTCTTGCGCGGAAGGTGGCTTTTGTGGCTGTTGGTTTCCGCTGGTGGTGGTAACGGCTGTGGTTGTGCCGAGTGGTCCTGGTAGAGGAGACGTAAATTGCAGAGCTTGCAAATTCTTCAGGGGATCATGATCGGGTGCACGGTGTGGCAATTGGGCCACCAGATCACTGTTTTGACTGTTGCTTTGCTGCAAACTATTGCGGTAGGGAAAGAGTCCTGGATTGTGCAGCAAGTTGTTGGGTTCCTCCTGATTGCTGGTTGTTTGGAGTGTTTCCTCTAAAGTTGCTGCCAGCATCCAAGGCTCGGGAGTGCTGGTTGTTGCAAAGGGTTGTGGGGTTGGGTCAAACGGAATATTGCTAGCAGCATTGTTGGTACTCCAAAATGAATTGGGCTCTTCGTCCCTCAGTTCATCTGTTTCTGGTGGCAGATAGGGTCGAGTAGGTTGTGTCAGTGGAGGTGCGTCAGTCCATTGATAAGGAGTGGTTGTTGTTGCCGGGCCCATGCCCGGGGGATACGGTGGCTTTCGAGTTTCTGGTTCTGCTTCTTCTTGGTCTTCTTCTTGATCTGGATCCAAAATTCCACCTGGCAAGAAGAAGGAGTCCACCAATGCCGCCTCATCTGTGGCATCCAAGGTTGTCATGGTGATATCTTGTAGAATAAATGGTTAGATAAATGAATGATCTCACTGAAAGATTTGACAGCCAAAATTTGCAATCGACTGATCAGATCCACTTTCCTGTCTTGATTGGCGGTTGGTTGGTTTCCTCGATTTGTTGGGTAGCTTTCTCAATAATATCCAAGATGAAGTGTTCGGCATTGACAAGTACCGGCAGACTCTGTGCTGGATCTCAAGTAAGAAAGAAGAAATCGTCGCTACCGACTGCCGAAGCTATCTTACCAGCTACTATGATAGTACACAAACAGCAGACAAGCTCTAACCTCCGGGGTCAGCCCTTTTGCCACAGCAACAAAACTCAAGAGATCGCTGAAGCTTATTATTACGAGCTACTAAAAGTACCCAACAGCCGATGATGTGAACAGCATCAACATGTGTCTTTTACTGCCATTTGCATGTGTCATTTGCTTTATGCCGAATAAAAGGGCCAATAAGAATCGAGGAACAAGCGCACGCGCGTGTTGAGCCCGCCACAATAATGGCTATTTTAATACAGCAGAGCCGCTTGAAACAGCAGTCCAAAGAGGAGGAAGAAGATCTCAGGCTTGCACCTTTGCACCTCCACGCTGCCAATCCACGATCCCGTCAAGCTTGGGAGGCAGCGCAAGCAGTGAAATTGCGAATGGCCGTCAGAGACAAGGGCAGGCATGTAGCAGCATACCGTATTCCGCCGAGGTAGCTGGTAGCTTAATTACATCTGATAGCTGACAAAGTCTCTCATCATCACCAACCAGCGGTACTCCTCGAGTACACGATTGAGAAAGTCGTCTTACAGCCCCGTAATGTCAGCACCACCTGGAGCGTCAATGATAACTTTTACGTACTGATAGCCATCCAGCACTCAGCTTCACTAACGACCGCTAAATAATCCACAGCGTAGCTCTGTTCGAGTGTCATTTTCTGGTGTCCGAGGCAAAGAAAGGCTGTTTGCTGGCTAGAGCTCCTGCTAGGATTGCTTGTCCCTACGCACCGATTTATCCCCGGTGCTGCTCTCTTCCTACCTTGTGTTCAATTTCCCCCCTTTTCACTGATTCTATGCTTGCTCGAGAGTTTGTTATACGAGTACTTGGTTTACCAGATCTACAAGAAAAACCTGTGCAGTATCAACCATTGCAAAATTCGAAGGCAAGTAGAATTGATTGTCCCAGCCATCATATTGCTTGCGCAATACGGTATCAGTAGTATTTTACTGTGGGCCCTACCGTGCTATTATTCTTGCCAGCGTTCGTGGCACAGCTGTTTGCATGCTCGTGCTGGGAGCAGCGCCGACAAAGACGGAAAGCAATCCGAACTTGAGCTCCAGGGGCAGACAACTTTGTTCCACGACACGGTCCATGAAGCAAGCAGTCTAGTGCCACCTCTCTTTGCAGCTTGTGTCGCGGCTTCTAGCATGCTGCTCAAGCAATCTGCCGGGCTACCGGTACTCAGGCAGCAAATTGTTCAGTTGGCTGGTACCGTACCAAGACAAAGAACGGAGGATCATCTCGTAGGCTTGGTGCATGGCTGGCTGCCACTTGCGCCCTCTGCTCGAGCTGCCTCTTTGCTCCCACCATGGAGCAACAGACCCTCCCATCACTCAAGTCGAGTCGAGAGGAGGGAGAAGCTGTATTGTCGATACTTTGCAGAACAGGCAGCCAGGCATTCCGCTTCACCAGCCAGCAAGGCCAATGACTTCCTCGTTTCAGATGTGGCGACAGGTTCGCCGTGTGAGTGTGTTCAGGGACGCCAGTTAGACTTGCTATGATAGTTGATTGATGGCTTATCCTCCGCGACTACGAGGACACTAGCAAGCTAGCGAGTTGCTCCCAAATTTGTGCCTACTTGCTTCCCTAGCCAGCCAGCTTGTTGGATCTTTTGGGAGGATACAAGCAATGTTTCTCAAAATAGCTAATAACTCAGCCCCGAGCCACATAGACAGTCCTGGATAATCCAGGAGCGAATGAATCAGTGACAATCGCCTGAGTCGAGTCAACACTTGCCTTCGGAACGTTCTGCAGTTGTTCGCACCGGTAGCTGTTGGGCTAGCCCATGGTCAACACCATCTCTATCTAAGCTAAGGCGTCTAGTCGGTTGGTCTGATGCGTACATGTATGTAGTTGGAAAAAGCCAAACAATTGACAATCACATTACAATTAGAAAAAAGTAACTAGTTTCTCGTTTCGTTTTTGGAATCGAATCGCTACAACAGAAGGCGTTCCCACACACCTACACACACACAAGTATAGTTTGTCGTGTTGTCATGTCATGTATCATACATGCGGGTTGAACAATTTGGGCGCCAGATCTCTGGGATCTCGGTATGTTCCTGCGACGATATCAAACCACATGAATAAATGTCCGTAATTGTACTTGAAGATACTGTGATGAACATGATGATCGGCAGGAGTTCCAAATCCCAATCGTTTGAACAATCCATCCCATGGCAATACGTATTCGGAATGGAGCATGGTCAACCAGCACGAGTACGTCGATCCAAACGCCATGTACGTCCAAACATTGCACGTCCGCATGACATTGGATGTCAGATAGAGTGGTGTGAGGATCATGAGAATGGTATCGGCGAGCGATCCATTAAAGGCATCAAACATTTTGGGATTGATGAATCGATGATGGGGTTTGTGTGACAATTGGTAGAGTCGCGGTGAGAGTGCGTGTTCGAGTCGATGCATAATGAATTGGAAACCATCTTGCAAGACCAAACAGAGAAATGTCTCTCTCCATTGAATGCCTCCTTCAAAACTGTAGTAGGAATTGGGCATGAGTTTGAACATCCACATGGACGCCAAGTAGATCCCCAACAAGACGAATCCTTCGGGTTGAAAGAGATGCGCCTTGACGGCCTCCATAAACTCATAGTCATTTGCCAAGAGGCGTCGTTGAATCAGCGGTGGTTCTTGGCCGCGCACGGCAGACAAGTAGCCAAACTTGTACAGATAGGCAAACCCAATGACAAAGGCATTACCAATGGCCACAGCCACAAAGCCTAGAAACAGCCCGAGTGGTTTGGGACGTTCGCTTGGATTCATGGGATTGTACTCGTACCATTCGGCTGGAAATAAATCTTGATAGGAAATAGGACTCCAGCTAGATGACAGCAGTAGAGGAAGAGACACTATCAGAGGCCACACCAACATGCCCAACCACGGAATGATCATCTTGACGGCTTCCTCTCGATTGTTGGGCAGATGCGACACCACATCATTCAACAGTGACAGCAGAGCCAGTCGCTCTTCCTCCGCGTTTTGTTGTTGTTGCTGTTGTTGGAGCGATGCTGCTGCTCTTGTTGGTGCTGCTGTAGTTGACGATGCCATGGTTGGTTGTTTGCTCATCATCACCAGTCACTGGTTTGAATGGATTGCCTTCTTTTTTTTGGTTTGGATTTTCGACTCCAAATTGTTTTGTGAAAGACGTGGCTTGAAAGAAAGAATGCGGCACCGGCAGCACCACAGCAACAATGCTCCATGCTCCTGCTTGGTGTTCGATTTTCTTCTCATTTCACATCCAGGAGCGCCGCGTGCCGTTTAGAGAAAACCGCAATGGATGCGAAGGTCGGTTGTCACTCTCTCTATTACGGTAGTAGAGCGAGCCGGCCGATGTCGCCGTCCAACGCATGGACGAAAAAATCCACCTCAAATCATAACAAGAGGAAGATGGGGTATCGTTCTACTGTATCAAATCACGGACCCTGGCAAGGAAGGAGACACGGCACAAAAGCTAACACAACAAACAACAGATAAATACTTTGTTGATACTAGTATCTACGAAAACCAGGCTGTTCGACGGTAGCTAGATAGATAGATACCTTGAAACTAGCCAGAGCATGTGGGCATTGATTGAATGATTCCACTTCTTGCTGCAAACAAGTTGTACAGGTAGCTTCCACAACTAACTACTAGTATCAAAACACTTTTGTTGGTTCCATCATCTGAACGAGCAGCCATGATGATGTTAGCAGGTCTTGAAATAGCACAGCTCTGTAGATTGGAGTTGCCTTTTTAGCTTGCAAACAAGGGGAACAATGATGGTCAAAAGGTCTACCTGGTACCCCATCCACCTTTCAAAAGGGATAAACACCTCCACTTTGGGTTTTGCTATGGGCTGAAACTATCAAAAAATTAGTTGCCGGCTTCCGGTTGACATAGACAAGTGGGTGAGTTAGCTAAAGAACTTTGGAGAAGTGAAGGCTTTGAGACCATGACTCGACTCTCGTGGAAAGAAGATGGCCAAGACAACACGTTTTACAGCCACATGCACATCAAGCAAGCAAGAAGCAACTTTCCAACAAAACGTGCCACGATCAGAGTAGCCACGAGCTCGGGCTGTACTAGCTTAGTATGGCTGTAGAGTATTGTACAATCAAAGCGAATTCCTGGTGTCGGACCCGCGAGATTGTACCGGTACGTGTTGCTAACTTGAACCACTTTTAGCATTTATCCGAAGCTATCAATTTGCTTTGCCTTCATTAGTTTTACGTGCAGGTTCCTATGCTGGCTTCTGTTCTTTGGACAACAATCAGTACACCATGTACCATGTACGAAGAAGGGCCCTGCTTTTGCTTGATGCATTCTCAAAGTGTAGCGTCGCGACCAGGCAAAGCCAGAAGCACGAATGCTTGAATCAGAATCATTCGCTTCGTCAGAGCATAGCAGGGCTTGCCTTCATCCTGTGCTGTCTAGACCTTGTAGATTTGGTTTTTGCCGCCTCCAGCCAAACATACCGGTATGCATACAAGGAGTTTTCATCATCTTCGCATTCGTTGCCCGCCGCGTGGACGCTTGGTAGCTTCGGCGCTTTTCCTTGGGCTGTTTTCGTTGATCCGGAGGCTATCCTTATAGACTAGCTAGCTAGGATAGTATCGGTATCCATGTCTGCATCCCGGACCGAAATAGTACCCTTAGGCCTACAAAAGCCCCCAATTCTAAGTACCCCGTACAGTGTTTTTGCAACTGTCAGTATGCAATATACAATGACATCGTTCGCGAAAGTTTGCCAGCCTGTGTGTTATTCTAAAGAAGGGTTGTTGCACGCGAATCATGTGACGGGTTGTCGTCTCGTGCTCGCGGGTAGCACATGAACCGGCACAACACATGACTCTGAAACTCGAGCAGTCTCTTCGGTGAAGGCTATCTCCTTGGCAGACTGAACGTAAATTTTTGGCGGAGACGATATCGTGCTGCTAAACGAGAGCTACGCAATGGAATGGGCTGCGCCTCTTTACTTCTTTGTCGTGTTATTACTTGTTACCTATGCACACGAACGAATACGACGAAAACTAAAATGTACAATTTCCATGAACTCCACCACTTGGCATCGCACTTGACCCCCACCTTCACGTTGTCTCTCTGCCGTACATGTAGTACAAATAATATATTCATGCGTTCTTCTGGGATCGCCTTCGATGAACCAAAACGTGTAACATTGCGGTTGCCATGGCGCACAGAGCCAAAGGCGCGCGGGAAGCACCAAACATAGTTTCGGCTGCCAAACAGGCTCCGGTGAGCAACGAGATGACACCAAAGGCCATCATCTGGACCATGGAAGATTGCTCGTTGACCCAGAGATTGACCCACACGGAAAAGGCAGCATAGAATGGCATACCCTCACTGGTGTAATAGTCAGTACTGCAGTATCGACCTGAAACACCCAGGCATAGCAATCTAAGAGGAGCAATACCCATGTGTACGTAGTCGTGCTGGGAGATACCCAAACTGGCACCGTTCTGTAGCTTGACATCGTTGTGGCCGTGCTGGAGGGAAATGTAGGAGGATGCCACAATGCCATCGACCACCAAGGTTCCTTCTTCTGTAAACGGAGCATACAGTCCCTCTCGTTGGATAGAATCAATCTTGGCAATCGTATGAGAAGACTGAGGATTATTTCCTCTCAACACATCTCCCACCTGCAAAGAATCAGCTCGCACGGGGTCATTGTTGTCAGCTTCAAACACCAGATGTTCAGGTGTCATCTCGAGCACGGTTCCCTCCTTGGTGTGAAACTGAAGGAATCGAGCCTCGGTGGTGGGATCCCAATGTCCAAAGCTGTAGACCGGTTGATATTCATTGCTGGCAGTCAGGATCTTGTCTCCCACTTGCAAATCCTTCATGGCCACGGGTCCCTTGTTTTCCACTTGTACAGTGGAGACTTGTGAAAAGCAGCCAAAGCCAAAAATCTCTCCTAGGTCAATATCCTGCCTCGGTTCGGCATCTTGCAACTGTCGTTCCTAATGAATTCAACGTTGCAAAAAGACGGTCAGAACGAACCATACAGAGTAGAAAGAAGAATGCTAATCACTTATTTGTCAACCAACTCACTTCTTCGTTGCCATGACGAGCAACACCTTTCAGTCCTCGTGGTTCTGGAGTGGCGGCAGATGCCAAGAGAGGCATTGCTGAAGCAAGGAGATAACAGATCTTCATGGCTGTGGACTACGATACGGTATCAGATCGAGGAAAAATAGTGAAGCCTTGCACGTGGTCTGTTGTGTTGTTGTTGTTGTTGTGTTGGTTGTTGGTTGGTGATTGAAAAAAAACCTCCTCGGCTGCTAGTAGAGTTACCAGCACAAGTGATCTATCCAAGCACTTCTTACAACGAGATCAAGATGGACTTTGGTACGACGAGCTAGACAAAAAGTGAGCGCAATTCCAAAACGTCCGCGACTTAACAATTTAAAAAGTGCCGGTCGTGGCGCACTTTTTTCAGACCTTCCTCTTGGCGCTGTCCTAAATATTTCTCAAACCTATCAAAAGGCTTAAGTTTCAGCGAGAGTTCACATACGGGGCCGCATAATCTTTTGGCCGAATTTGTGAACCAAAGACATATCCAGGCATGCGAGAGAAGTGAGATGCCAAGATGAGGTACACTCGTACCAGTAGCTTCACGAAACCATGGCTTTTACATACCGGTACAGCGGTTTCTACCCTCCGCAGTAAGTAAAAGGACTGTCATTGGGGGCCAATGCTGCTACAGTCAACATTCAGATATATATACAGGGGGGGATTCAGGAATCCAGTAAATATAATAGTGTGTCTAAATATAGAGCGTTACTGCTACTAACCACTAGTAAAGAACGAGTGGAGAGTGCCATCACGTTTGCGTTTGCCGGCCCTTGTCGCCCTGGCAAACCTATCAAGATGCACAGTAGCAGCTTGGTTGATACCCAAGCTGGAGGCACTTTCGGACAGCTTATTGAGCGCCTCTTCAGCTTCGGCAAATGAGGCAAACGCATCGGCAGGTTCCGGGTCAACGTCCATCGGTTCAGGCTCCTCGTTGTTGGCGCAGATCCATGTACGCAACAAGCCTCTTCTCCAACTCCGGATACTTTGGCGCAACATGTCGCTTGGATTTGTCCCTACCAACCAAAGTCTTGCTGTCGTATTGCTTCAGGTCTTCAGGTAACGACCAAAACTCTGCTGTTCCGACTGCGTTCCTGATTCACGGTCACTCGTGACTGGGGGGGGGAACTCGAGATATAATAAATATTATAGAGCGAATAAATATAAGATTATAAATATAAGCGAGCGTTAACTGTATGCGTACAATGTACCGGTAGGTATCCTAGACGGGTTTGCAAAGAGGTTTTCGGCGGTACCAGTACAATGGGCGATGTACTCGACGATACCCTTCACAATGTTCCGTACCGGCACATGCATGTTCCATTGATCAAACGGAGGCATGTAGATCTATTTTACAGCATTTTACATCAGAGGCAGACTCAGATCGGAGCTTCCAGTAATCAACGCCTGTCCTGGATGGGCAGCCATCATGCCGGCCTTGAATCGATTTCCTCGCTGAAGCTACGAGTTGCAAGGTTCTCAGGTGTTGACACGCACTTCTAGCTAGATATGTATCGTGAAAGGAGATGCTCGGTTCCAACTCGTACAGTGCAGTAGTAAGCAAGATCGCTCGTGCACGCAATTTCTAGTTTATTCTTCTTGGCTGTACTTGTACTGGTGGTCGCACAGGGCGCGGACGGGTGCAGTGCAAGCTCGTTGTATTACATGAATTCCAGGCCAAGAAGCGTAGCATAGCAGCCATTCAGCCAGGTGGCTGGTAATAGGAGCGAAGGGAGCCGGTACCAGTATCGTTTGCTACCAGCCAAGACCTGGGTCCCAAAGCTAAACGCTACCCCTCACCGGTACTATCACAAAACAGAGTCCAAGGCCTACACCAAGACCCACACCTGACCAGAACTTTTGGGCCCCAACGGGTAAGCACGGCCCTCGCCTGATCCCGCCCCAGGCCTCGGCATGGAAGCTGGACTTTGTTGCCACGAACTCGGATACTCAACGTGAAACGAACGAGCGTCTTCTCAACTGATTTTTGGAGCATAAAACAGCCCAGCTGGGTTATTACTTGGGAAGTGCATCACCTCTCATTTTTTGAAGACCAAAAGCCAATGAGCAACAACAACGGCAACATCAGCACCACCACCACCAGCGTCACTACCACAATAATCCAGGGCGTGCCTCTTCGCCGGCACAATCCTCATGTGGTCACGTTGGATGCGGACAAAGTATTGCGACTGTTAGAATTGTTGTCGACAGAGATCGCCAAGGATGGAGGTGCCACAGTGGTGGTTTCCATCAAGGACTGGTACGGGCTCAAGCCGAAGATTGAACAGTTGTTGGGGAAACGCATGAAGCTATTGCAGTTCTTGGAACGACATCCCAAAATATTCCGTGTCGATCGGAACGAGTTGCCTCATGTGGTTCATTTGCTGTCTCATGAACATGTCGTGGTACCTGATGTAGCAGCAACAGGGATGAGTGATGATGATGATGATGACGACAACCACAATAAGCAGCAAAAGGCTCTGGTAGAACAAATCTGCTACGTCCTTCGAAGGCGCAATGCACGATTGTCACGTCGTCGACAACAGCAGGAAAAGCTATCCGTGACTCCTCAACATGAAGATCGACCTCAAGTCAACATCCCGTGGCTTTTATCGCAGGTTTCCACGTTGTTTCATCTCTACCTACGAAACCACAAAACAGATGGAACCTTCTTTTACCGCACGCTCTATGCTACTCACGACGACGTCCAATTGCCAGGATCCAAACCGTGGCAAGAACTGGTCTTTTCCGAGTTTTACAACTTTTTGCGACAAGAAGAACAGAGACCCAATAGCTCCATTCGAATCGTCCAAGAAACTGTGCAGTATGGCCACAACCAAAATAATGATAATGGGGAATCAACTACCACTACTCAAAAGCCCAGAGTGGTGCTAGTGGAGGACATGGATCATGAGGAAGGGAATGACACAACAGAAAGACTTGACGAATTCGACGTGGCGCGGGTAGCAGAAGCACTCTTTTTGGCGATACAAGTGGATGGAGCCACCCACATTGCCGTGTCACTCCTGCTACATCGCTATGCCGAGCTCAAGCACAGTTTGGGTGGAAGAAATTTGGCCACGATTGTGCAACAATATCCTCAGGAGTTTCCAGGAATTGAAATCTATTCCTACCTGGGAGAGACATTTGTCAAGAATACCCTCGTCCTGGAACGAAACACTGACGACAATAATAACAACAACGGCAACAAGTTTCATGCCAGAAGACGAATGGATGTCGATGGTGCGACGGGTTTGTTCTCGGTGGCATCGGGGAAATGGGGTACAGCAATCATGACGGGCATGAAAGAGGCCATCTTGCAACTGCAACGAAAACGACAAACCCTTGACGACACTGCTTCGACCAGCAGCAACAACAATCTCCATGTGAGTTTGGCGGTGGATCTCACGGCCTCTGTGGGTGGCATGACTTTGGCCATGGCACGTCGATTTCCTCCAAAACAGCAAAGGCAGGAACCAGATGATGCAGCAGGCGACGTCAATGTCAATCGTGATGATGATGAGAAGGACACCAAGTCACACACTCTTACCTCCGCTACCAAAATCATTGCAGTTGAGATTGATCCACAACGTGCTCAACTGTGCCAGCAAAACATGGAAAAGTTTGGATACTCGCAAGAGGACATTGAAGTGTGGAACATGGATGCTATGGAAGCCATTCCCAAGCTTCCCTTGCAATCTGTCTGCAATAATGACATTGCTATGGCTGTCATTGATCCACCCTGGGGTGGTGTCCATTATCGCTTGGAGAAGAACCCCACGTTTCAAATGGGTCCTTGGTTGCTGCAAGATGTGGTGGAAAAGTTGGCACTTCACTTCCAGCAGCAACAGCAACAAAGTCTTTTGTTGGTGGGACTTCGAATGCCCGTGTTTTTCGATGTGGATCAGTTTTCTGCAACATTGCAGGAACGAAATCTTGTGTTCCAAAGGGAGCTTGTTCGCAAGTTGGGATTTCAACTCGTGGTGGTGTTTTCGTTTCGTTCCTCAGCAACATCTAGCTAGAACTATGTTGAACCTGGGCATGACATACAACTGGAAACCATCTTCTACGAGCTAGCTGCTGTGAGCAACCGTGTTAGCTAGTGGTATGGCATCTTTTGTCCCCGTTGGTGTAGGCACAAATGAATGAAACCATCTATCGAGTGCAGCGAAAGTGAGATGGCTAAGTACTGGGTTTGACTGAGTCAACCCGCCCTGCCACATAGTTCGCAGCTGAGAGTAGTGACTTGGATTGTACAATTCTGTCGGTGGTTGTAGCTAGCGTTCGTTGAGGATCCATGTAGAGAGTGTCGACAACTCTACAGTACCTAGCAGATGCTGCCCCTGCCCGGGGAGGATGCAAATATGTGTAATGGGGAGAAGATGAAGCTTTTTAGATGTTATGATTTGCTACTGTGGACCGCAATTGCTGGAGATTGCTAAGGTAACTGCCATGTAGTAGCCACTATTGCTTGGAGACCCACCGCCACAAGGAGACGCCACAAGCACTTGCCGCCGCCGGCCTTTGCTGTCTTAACAACTTTTGGTTGCCGTCACTGTCTGCATCCCCCACGGCACAAACGTCCAGAATCGGACTTGATACGATTCCACCGTGACGTTTTGAAATCCCGCCTCTTCCACCAACTGTTGCAGAACAGTGGCCCTGAGAGGTCCTGGATATTGATGCCGAAACCTTCCAAAAAGGTTCCATCGAACCCATTCGAAGAGATGATACCACCGAACCGTCAAGGCATCCGCACACCAATCGGTAATGACCAGTCGGCCACTGTCCCGACGCAAGACGCGGTACATTTGGGCCAATGCCAATGGTTTGTTGCGGAAAAAATGAAAGGCATTGGTGGAACAAATGATATCCGCCGATGCATCGTCAAGAGGCAGAGATTCGGCTGTCGCTTGGATCCATTGAGCAGTGGCAGCAGGTTGCTGTTTTTGTTTGGCTCGCTCTAGCATTTCCGGACACGGCTCTATGCCCACAAACCGTACAGACGTGTCTTCTTCTTCTTCTTGTAGGGATTGCAGTCGTTTGACAAACTCTCCCGTTCCACAGGCAACATCTACCACCGTAATCGGCTTCTTGTGGATGCGCTCATCATTCTCTTGCTGTTTTCTCGTCCTGTCCAAGATAAAGGACGAAACCAGTCGCAGAGGCCACACAAACGTCTTGTTCAGATAATCGGCCCAAAAGGAATCGTACCAAGAGGCCATGGCGGAATATTCCACTTGCAGAGCTTCCAAGGCAACCTCGTTGTTGTCGTCGGCCTTCAATTCCATCGCTTCAGAGTCGTTTGTTGTCATGATCTTTTCTTTGTGGTGGAGGAAACTGGCCAGCTGCTATGAAATGGGGTTGTCTGGGTTTGGGTTGCCGCTGGCGAGGAGCTCGACACACTGGTACGATAGAAGACTTGTATCCACACAGCTGCCATCCAAACTTGACATTGGCATCTCTCAAACGAGCGAAAACACGAGTGCGAACACGGTAACACGGTGCTTCGGATTTTTCCGAAGGCTAAGCATTTTTTTCTAGATTTCTCCGCTCTGTGAAAGATTCTCCGTACTGTAGATGCGGATCTTCTCGATTCTCGACAGTAAAGATTGATGGCGATGATGGCCGACAAGACGATACTGTACCAAGCAAGTATCCTATACGGCAGCACCATACTATGTTCCTCCTTCAACGTTGGCTGTCATTCACTGTCCTTCCCACAGTCCTCCTCTTCCTGGTGCTGAAATCGAACTTGAATGCTGTGGAGAGCCGTGAGCAAGATACACCAGAGGGAACCTGCACTACTTCTGGCGTATGTGACGCTAGCAAAACTGTCTTGGTGACAGGCAGTAATGGATTTGTGGCATCTTGGATTGTCAAGGAATTGTTGGAACAAGGATACTCAGTCCATGCAGCTGTCCGTGACGCCTCAATACCTGACAAAGTCAACCATCTCAAACAATTGACGGCAGAGACCAGTCGCCTTATAATATTTTCTACGGGAGACTTGGGAAGTGCCCCGGATGACATTTGGGATGCCCCTCTGAAAGGTTGTCATGCTGTGATTCATTCTTCCATGGCAATGGGATGGCGTGATGGTCGTCATAAAATGTACGAGCCAACATTGGCAGGTACACGACAATTATTGCACGCAATCGAACGACACACCGACTCGATCCGATCGCTCATTCTGACATCCTCCACAGCAGCCGTGGCTACTCAAGATGGTCATGCTATTACGGATGAGTCACATTGGCGCAATGCCCAAGAGGATATAGAGCAGGAATCTTGGTACAGTGCCACCAAAATTGCCCAAGAACAAATGGTCACCGAATGGGCCCAAACCCAAAAGAAAGCTGGAATTCTGCCGCCACAGTTTCAATTTGTGTCCATTGTGCCCACACGAGTTCTGGGTCCTCCCATTGTATCCACACTACCCATTTCCGGTTGGATACAAATACTTCGCGATTGGTTGTTGCATCCACCTGCAGAAAGCAATGATACCATCGAGTTCGTACATGTCCAGGATGTAGCCCGCATGCACATTGCTGCCTTGGAACATCCAGAGGCATATGGACGATATTTGTGCGTGGACGAATCCTGGCATTGGAATGAACTGTTGGAGTATCTACAGCAACTCCAGCCCAAAATGATAATCAAGCCATACAAGGGAGACGATGACAAGGTCCCTCCAAAACAGTTCAGCAAGGAACGACGCAACACTTTGGATGTAGCATTTCGGTCGATGAAAACCATGCTAAGAGACGCTGTGGAATATTTGGAGGCCGTTGATGAGTTGGGTGGATTATCTACAATTAAATTCTAAAATGATTTTGAATATGCCCAGGATTTACGGCCTGACAACAAAACGATGGTGGCTAGCTCGCCAGAACTCAAGATGGATGTCCTTCAGCTTGCAGACAAGCTTTTCAGCTTCGTGGCCACATTGGAAGATTGATTGGGTTGAATTGAATGATTCCAAGCTGTGGGTAGAATCGAATCCTTCATTCAATCCTACCGGTACCGGTGCTGATCAGACAATTCTTTGCTTTACCATGAATAGCCGCCAATGCCCATGCACAAAACTTTCAAAGCTTCACAGGCTTATTTTCAGATCTTTCTTGGATCTTTCTCAGATCTGTTACGAGGAGTCTTAAGAATCAGATTATTCTTAAGAATCAGGAAAAAATCTTGGGAAAATTATGATTCTTAAGAATCAAATACTGGGTAGACAAGGATTCTTAAGAATCAGACTATTCTTAAGAATCAGAATTTTCCAGATTCTTGGAAATTGATGATTCTTAAGAATCAGCAAATGATTCTTAAGAATCAGTTTTTTCAAAATCAGATTCTTAAGAAAAAGCTAGATGATTCTTAATTAAGAATCAGCAATGAAAAATGCTGATTCTTAAGAATCAACTCCAAATTATGATGATTCTTAAGAATCCTCAATGCAAATATGCTGAATCTTGGGAATACTTGTAAAAATCAAGAAAGACTCCATTGCAATGGTTTTGGTATGCACTAATGCATCATTACAAGGCTTGTCTTATCAGCAAACATTGTTGTTGGTTAGCAGATAGTATCAGGGGATAGCATTGCTAGCTATGAAGCCCATGTTGCTAGTATATTAGGTTGCATACTGGGTGCCTGATGATTCTTTTAAGAATCAGCAAAAAGAACAAAATGATTCTTAAGAATCCCCATTTTCCAGATTCCTCGCACCAGATCTTTGGGCAAAGATCGCAGTTAGTTAGCCCGAAAGCCACGACCATGATGTTGAAGCGGTCCTTATCAAGCACCGTTGTGTTGTTTTCGCTTGTAGTTGTCTTGTTGGCATCTTCCACCAATGGCTTCCGCCATGGTCGCTCCCTGCAACCGGTATTGACGCCCAGCCTGAATGTAGAAAGGAGTCTTTCGTCGTCGAAATCCAACACCAGCTGGCCAGCGAGGAAACTGCCGCCTCAGAGCACCGCCCAAACAACTTGTCTGAATCTGCGAGGAGGCAGTGTTTCTGGGATCTTGACTGTCTTGGTGAAGACCGCCATTCAGAATCCGGTCCTGGTTTTGCGTAAGTTTGGCAGAAGATGGTGTACCCATTGCATGTGTGATGTGATTCTCGCCTGATGACAGCTTTGTCGTTGTGCTTGCAGTCATGCTCTCTTCTACCTTGGTATCCGTTTACAAAGAACAGGTCCCATACCCAAAGCAGATACAATCCTTTTTTCAGATGTGTATTGTCGGCTATGTCTTCTACATGCTGGTTCAATGGCAGAAAATGCAGCAAGATGCAGCCGAAGAATCATAGCCTTCGCTCCGAAAAGTGCTCCATCACCACCCTGCAGCTCTTCCTAGCTAGATTCTTTCCTGTCTAGCTAGCATCTAGATTGTGGATGTGTCTACCCTAGCTAGAGGTAAAAACTTGCGTTGGATAGTAAGACTCTTGAGTTTCACCTGAATGGATCTACTCTACCGGTACAAACATGCACTGTTTCATTCGCTGAGTCTTCCATTTTAATGGCCACCCTCCCTGCAGTTTGGCTTGATGTTGCTACTGGTCATTTGCTCTGAGCTAGCTCTAGCTAGATAGCAGGAACGTCAACATGCAGCGTCTTGGCCGTGTGAGCCCACCCCCAAACATGGGTGAGTGTGCGTCTGCGACAATACCGGTACTGTAGATGGAACAAAAGAGCAAACCCAGCCTTCAGCAGCATCAGCATCACCGCACCTTGCTGAAGTCGACAAGGAAACCGACAACCAACAAGCTAGCAAGTTACCGTGGAGCTCGAGATGAGGAAACGGCGAGTTCAGTTTGATCATCAAGGAAGTGAGATCCATGAGGTCCCTTCCATCGCAAAAGATGAGAAAAAGAACTATTGGTACACTCCACAGCAACTCAAGGGTATCCTGGTGTCGGCCATTACATCGACGGGCGAAGCCGTCAAAGAAGCTCGCAGCAAGGGTGGGGAAATGCCCGATCTTCGGGGGTTGGAATCCCTTTCGAAAACCTCTCAAGAACGCAAGGAAGAAATCTCCCTGGATCGCCTCCGCGTGATTCAAGCCTACACCAAACAAAAACGACAAACGGGGTCTGTGGACGAAGAATCAATTCGTTCTCTCTACCATTCATTCACGGAAGAAGATTCCAAGAGAGCTCTGGCGTATGGCACGATTGATGCAAAATCATCTTATAGCTACACTACCGCCAATGGCAAGACCACTGCAACTACCAAGCAAACATCCAACAATAAAGGAAAGGGAATGCTGGACTTTCTTTTTGGGAAAAAGAGCAAAGGCAACAAAACACACAAATAGAAACAATGGCATTGCCATGTTCCAGCAACCGATTTTGGTATCCACCAAAGGATGACACCACATCCTCTAATCCTGAACGAACGATTATCCGCTCCGCCGTGGAATAGGTTCATCGGTTCTCGAACGAAGAGCTGAGTGACCCACATTTTGCACACTCCTGCAGTTCTAGATACATCAATCAGCTTGACTTGAGGAGGTAGTTTTGTGAGGTATCTATATTGTCCTGTGGAAAGAAGACTTGCTTTTAGAATCTCAAGCCAGCCACTTCTTGGGTTCAAGCTTGGGCAAAATACGGTGCCATGGTACGGTACAGTATTGGAGCGCATCTCGCACCTATACTGATGCCGATTGGTTTCGAATCTTTTTCATCGATTGGTCCTTTTGATGTCTGTTCTTTTGCAATGACGTGATCCTTCCCTCTCGTTGGTGTCCGTTTGCAAATGACAGATCCAAAAATCTGCTACCAATTGGAAGAAATGATGAAGCCAAAGGGAGCAGATGACTCCTTGCTAGCTAGTCAGAACTCCTTTGACACATGGCATCCCATTGCCCTTTTTCTGAGCGTCTTCATTGGTCCTTTCCATTGCTTATCACCATCTCCAGGCAACCGGTCTGGAGAGCATGAAGGTCTAAGAGTAAATGGAAATCTGTCTGTATGATTTTGCTTCTTAAATCGCTTAGTCATAGAGCGTTAAGTCTCCTACTCGTAGCTGTAAATCGTTAAGTCTCTTAGATTCCGAATGGTGAATCAAATCATGGCCTCACAACCGCACAATCCACCCGAAAGATCCTCCACAATCATTCTTCGTGTTGCTCTCTTCATCAGACGACAGCAACAAGAGACAAGCACACCTGCTATCTAGCTAGCTAGAGCTAATCAGACAACAGATTGATTTGATTCAGTCAAGATGGTACGGAAGAAGAAGAGCAAGAACCAACAAAAGCAAGCCACGGGAGCGAGAGAAGAGGGCAATGCTGTCACCAACAGCGCCACCAAAGCCAAAAATGAGGAGGTTTCGGAAGCCGACGCTGCTGGTGGGGCTATTCTGACTGGATCCAAGAGATCTCCTGCTGCTGCTGCTGCTGATATTGATTCGACAAACAAGAAAGATGAGCCCAGATTGACGCGCCAGAAACGGCAAAAAGTACAAAATCAAACGAAGAACAAGCTTGCCACTACTAAAGACAATGACACCTCCATGGAAACACTCGGAGACGAATTCCGAGAGTTGCTGCAGAGGGATCCTGTCAGTGACACGGAATGGCGTCACTTTGGCCGTTTTCTGGTGGCTTCGGGGGATAGTATTACGCGCCAAGTGGCGGTCGATCGAATACGCCAATACCTAACGGCCAAGGCAGGCGATGTCGGTCTGTCCAAGCTAGATTTGCTCCAGCTCTGGAAGGGACTTTGGGTGCCACTCTACAAGGTCGACCGATCTGTGCAAGAACACATTGCCCAGCTGATGCACGGTCTCGCCGGTCCTCTGGAAGAGGATCTCATGGCGGGGCAGATTTATTTGGATATGGAGATGGAAGAGCAAATGGCATTGGAGGATTCACAGCTAGAAATGGAGGATGGCGACAGTGACGACAACATCCAAGACACTGAAGAAGAGCAGGACACAACAATGGACGAGGAAGACGCTGGCACTCAGGATGATCAAAACAACAAAAAGCACATTCGAAGTGCCGCTTTGGTACAATTGATGGTCCGTGCCTTCTTTCAAACGGTAGTCGCCGAATGGGACAATTTGGACGAGAGCCAGATCAACAAATTCTATACTCTCATTCGATGCGTTCTCCGAGAGGTATACTGGTACTTGGCCACACGACAATGGAACATTGGCATTATCAAACTCTTGAACGATGCCATTGCGGAAGAAGCCTTGATGAAACAGCCCAATGGAGTGCGATTGCATCTCATGGATATTGCTCTGGAGGAGTTGGCCAAAGTGGGACAACAGCAACAACAACAAATAGTGGAGGTCAAGCCCATCACCGAAGTAATCTTTCTGGAAGTAATGGAACCCTTCTTCAGTATGGCGGCACATGGCTTTGGTGACAAGACTGTCCAGGGACGAGCTGTGGAGAAAGTCTTGAAAAAGTTCTTGATGGAGCACAGTTTAGTGAGCCACCAAGACGACGACAACAAATCAACAGAGCTTATTATTTTGAATCAGGTTCATGTGGGCACGGTTTCCTCGTTTATCTTTGAAATGGCCAGTGATGAATCAACGCCTCAAGCGAACCGAAAGTGTCTCTATGACATTTACAAGACATATGAGCGCCAACGAAAGAAAATGGGAAGCGATATGGAGCTCACATTTGATGCTGTGAAACCAGGATTGACGGAGCCGGTTGGCGACGGCGACGATGGAGAAGAAGATCCCGGCTTTTCGGAAGAGCAGCTCGTGGAAGAGGACGACGATGACTTGCAAAAGTTGGGTTTCGTTGAGGAGGAAAGTGACGATGCAAACGAAGAACCACAACAATCTGCAAACACAACAACAGAAAAGCCCTCCCAGGCGGCAAACAAGAAGAAGAGGAAGAAGAAGCGCAAGAAGAAGGACAAGAGTGCAAATAAGGAGGACGGTGACGAGGGCCAAAGCCAAGATCCTCCCGCAAGCAAACAAGAAGACGAGAAAGTGAGCGCAAAGAAGCGGAAGAAGAAATCAAAGAAACGAGGTAAGCATGAAGAAGCTAGCGACCAGGCAAAGGCTACAAAAATGACAGAACAAGAGGCTGAAACCAACAATAGTGACAGCGGAGAAGACGCTGGCGGCGGGAAGAAGAGGAAGAAGATGAAGCGACGTGTGAGCTTTGACCAGCACAACCAAGCAAGATCGTGGAAGGCATCGATGCACGGCTTGCGAAAGCTGGATCCCTCGGAAGCGATTTCCAAATCTCCCGAGAGGAGTATTCTCTTGAACAAGGGAGCAAAGTCACCTGTGACAAGGCCGGGCAGGAAGGGTAGAAATAGTAGAAAGAAACCTAGCTACCTCTAGTTGGAAGCATTATTTCTACTACAAATGTACCAAGTTCTTCCCTTTCTTCCATCCTAATTTCCATTTTGGTCTCGTTCTCAAATTTCACATAAGCTTAGATTAGTTTAAAAGTCCTACATGTAGACTATCTCTTTTCCCACGAACCGGTTTCAACCATAAATACTACACTCTGTTTCCTTGAAGTAATGTAGAGTTGGCGTGTAGTGCATCCTCGCTGGTGCTTTTACTCTCCCGCCAAGCCGATAGGGCCCATCACCCGGAAAGTTTTCTACACTCCCACCAATTTCTCACTAGCCTCCCAGAGTTTGCCTGGCATTTCCTCCGTCACGTTGGGGTTCTTGAGTTCCATGGGCCAACCTCCTGGTTTCGATTCGGGATCTTTGTAGATACCAAACTGACTGTAGAATTTGCCCGACTCTATCTTGTCGGCATCTTCCAAGAGACAATGTAGCGTACTCTGGGCCCCGTCAACAGGAGTGATCATATCTCCCTTGAGCAAAAAGAATTTGCGTGCTAAATTGCCAGCAAGATTGGCAAAGAATCCCTCTCCAAACATTTTCTTAAAGACGTGTACATCCAACGGACTGAGAACCCATCCAGGATGGACACTGGTGGAAATGAGCTTGTCAGCAGGATACTTTTTGCCCGCTTCCGTGGCATGCAAGTAATTGGACAATTTGCTCTGTCCGTACGCCAAACCTTCGTCGTACTCTCGGGTTTCCCACATGAGATCGTCAAAATCCACATTGGCGGGTACATCCCGCAAGGTCGACAGACCAGCCGCCACGGAAGAGAGCGCCACAAAGCGACTGGGTTTGCTGGTCTTTTCGGCCGTTTCGAGGAGAAGAGGTGTCAAGAGATGCATCAACAGAAAATGCGCCAAGTGATTGCATCCAAATTGCCATTCAAAGCCATCTTTGGTCTTGGCGTAGGGACACGCCATGACACCGGCGTTATTGACCAGACCATCGAGTCGCGTGTATTTTTCTTGAAATGCCTTGACAAAGGCTCGTACCGATTCCAACGACGACAAGTCGAGTGTCGTCACAAAGACGGCGCCTGATCCAATGTCTTTGACTGCCTCTTCGCCGCGTTCGGCATTCCGACATGCCAACACCACCGTGGCACCTTGCTTGCAGAGTTGACGAGATGTCTCCAAACCACAGCCGCTATTGGCGCCTGTCACGATGTACACCTGTTCCGAAAGATCCTTCTCAAACAACTTTGGATCGCAGCGAAGAGGAGTCGGCATTGTTCTATTCTTAAGTTATGATAGTAAGTAATGGACTGGACTGGAAAGCTAGAGGTCGATTGCTCGCACAGGAGAGTAAGTGAAGAGACAACAACTTTATCAACTGGAAAGGAGGAAGGATCCGAGATGGATCTTTCTTTTGTGATGCCGGATGCCGGCATCATTGTGGAGAAAACCGGAAGGCAAAAAAAAGATTCACTCGTGACTAAATTCATATGCCCTCTGGGTCGTCTCCGTTTCCAGTACGAGTACTAGTTTAACTTGTCTACTAATACAGGATAATGGTGAATAGAATCGAATGAATCATGTGGCTTATATTTAGGGTTTAGGTTTTGCAATTTTGAAGTCAACGTGGTTTATGTGAGGTTGTAAAAGTTTTGTGTGATAGTATGTGTTAAGTGGAGGGTTGGCTCGCTTCCGCTGGGAGCTTGGTGTCTTCTTTTTCCTCTGTTTCCCGCTCTTCGTCGGTACTGGGGTATTCGGTAATAGGATCGTGAGCAAGTTCGGCAGCTTTCTTCATACCATGTGGAGTGTCATCATTCTGACTATTCGCAGTTGACACTGTTGGCCGACGTGGTTCGTGGAACAGGTGGAACGTGAGATGACGTATTTGGTTGCATTGGAACTGGAAATGTTTGCGAATAATATTGGGAGGTCAATGTATTGAGGATTTGAAAGTGAGGGTACGGGGGATTTATACGGGAGAGCTACTGTAGAGACTTACCACCGTTCTCCTGCTGGTGCTTCTCTGAGAAGAGTTCCCAAGAAGGCCTCAAAGTTCATGCCGTGGGGTAGTGCAAAACCATAGGGAAGGGCACAGTGTGGCAGCTTGAAGGCGAACATGGTGGATATCTCAGCATCACGACGCTGAAGGT